TGAGTGTGTGTGTGTGTGTGTGTTTATGTGGTTTATGAGGACACAAATTTGTATAATAACATGGGTATGACAGGTATTACAACGAGAAGGTGATTTATGAGGACATTTTCAGTGTCCCCGTAATTCAAAAGGCTTATAAATAATTCAGAATTCGTTTTTTTGAAAATCTGAAATAGCAGAAAGTCTCCTGTGAGGGGTAGGTTTAGGGGTAGGGTTGGTGTAGGACAATAGAATATACGGTCTGTACAGTATAAAAACCATTACGCCTATGGAGAGTCCCCACTTTTCACAAAAACAAACCTCTGTGTGTGTGTGTGCGCGTGTGTATGTCTGTGTGTGTGTGTGTGTGTATAAACATGTATATATACACACATATTAAATATTAAAGTATACATAATAAAGACTGTTTATATATAATTTTTAACATAAGATAAACAAAATATTAATATAGAACATATATATATATATATATATATATAGTGCTGAAATATGATTTAGATGATCATTCACAAAACTAAATAGGTTCCGTCTTCTTGTAAGTCTTGAACTTTAACAGTTTTTCATGAGATCAAATATCACTGCAAGCAACCCTTGATCGGAATGACAACCTAATATATTGATAATTCATAATAAAGTACGGACTATATATATAACCAGCTAATGAATCCATCCGACTTTATCCCCTCTCTTCTCAAAACATTAGAGTTAAGGCTCTGAGAAATGATAAGAAACAGGCCCCAGGTTTGTTAGCGTTACCTGCTGATATCCACTCCTCTGGTCCGTCATTCTTCCGCGTCGATCTGCCACTTAATCACTCATACAGCGATGACCACTAGTTTAACGTAACTTTGACTTAATATCACAAACTGACTGCTCGTTAATTACTATATTCTCGAAGGAAGTCAGGTTGACAGCGCTAGGCTAATCTGTAGCCCACACAATGGCGACTGCGCATGCGCGGCTCTGTCTCAAAGCCTAGTGTGCTGCCTACCTAGACAGCATTTCAGCTGCTATAGACGTGCTTGGGAGCGGCTCCGCTCAGGCGGCTCACTAGGTTTTGAACACAGCCCATGGGTGTATTTATGTCAGTGCAAAGATTGTTGTTATGTAACCAATTAAAGAGAAATTTCCATGAGTAACTCTGCTTAACGGTTGAACTAAAATACCTTTGAACCTTTCATTTGCAATGGCTAGAGAGATTAGTCCCTCGGTCCCAGTGCTGTAGTAAACACTCAGTATTTCTGGAAGTGCAGTCTGTTGAGTGCTGTAATTTCTTGACTCCTGAGGGCACGTCTTATTCATGCATTATGTCATGCATGCACCTTGATTACACTGAACTGCCTATGTTGTCTATTGTGATATTAGAAATGTTTTCATGACTTTTCACGAGCATGGTGGGGAAATGTTTCTTTAGTCTAATAGTTTCACACAATAATAATAAAAAATAAAATAAAATGGTAATTCTTGTACAGTTAAACATGTCATTGCCCACCATAACTGTGATATAACTAAAACAAAAACTACTTAAACACGTTTTCATGAACTGAAATAAAGCTGAAATAAAATGCAATAAAATAAAATATAAATATTAGATGCATATTAAATAAAATTAAAACTATGAAATGTTTCAACAGAAATGTTACCGCAGCAACTAACTGAACAAAAAAAAATTTAATTACAAATAAAAGTGAAATAAAATAAAGGTGTGTGTGTGTATGTGTGTATATATACACACACACACACACACACACACACACACACACAC